TCAAGTCTGGTGGTGCCCGACAGCAAATCACTACAGCCGTGTTGCGTTGTCCAGCGCTGCTCGACAACGGACTGCAAAGGGTAAAGGATGCAGTGTTAATAGACACCCCATCAATGTTGGGCTTGACAGTTACAATATTTTTGAAGCACCTATTTTTTATTAGTGTTTTACATAGAGTAATGGCTGGGGATAATTTTAGCATTGGTCTAAGTGTCGATATTGTTATGTGCCGATTACCTAGAGGTTATCTCCTCGTAACAATATTAAATGAGTTAATACTTTAATCTCGACATGAAATCACTGAATCGCTGCCAACCACCTAAGTGCATAGTGGCGCTCGTCGGAACTTTTGTGGGCAGAAATGACTGAGGATGGCTGCAGCCTATGATTGTATAAATGCAACCTTAGAAGAAATCATGGTGTGCCATCAGAATTGAAATTACTCCTGTTTCATTTTTCTTTTCGGTGCTTCTTCATTGAACCTCGAAAGACATGGCTGCAACAAAAACGATCACTACGACTACAAAGCAGGACAGAGATGCTGGCTACCATTTTGCCACTGGATTTTTGGCTTGCATGGATTGGGTGTCCATACGAAAGGCTTCTCTTACTCTCTCTTCCCTCTTATTGCTTTTGTGAGTTTGCGAGTTGTCTCTTTCCGCACGTGCGCTAGGATGGTTGTTGAAGGGGTGCTACACTCTTGCAGTTCGTCGGGCAGCTCACTGAACAACTTGTAAAAGGTCAACACTACTTCAACGCCCTAGACATTCCACTAATTCCTTTCTCAGAATAAGAGGTGGGGGGGGGGGGGACACGGGAAGTTGCAAAGAACAGCAGGAAATACCCGCTTCTTGCGTCAGGCACCATGTTTGTTACGGTGGCAACGAGGTCAACATTAGCCTGGAAAGAACACGCAACAATAGTGTGCGAGCTTCTCTTACGTAGGCACTTTCAGCACTTTCATCGGGGGAGCCATCCTACATCTACAGGCTAGTCGGGGGGCAAGTGGAATGTGGTCAGGTGACCCGACATTATCAAGTTAAGGGTAGTCATTTATTTCTTGTATTTTGCACTTTCTAAATCGAATAACTTACCACTGCATGCTGTTATCACTGTCGTTCTCGCTGCATTAGTCTGTCTGTACTTCAGTTTAAACAACCTAGGAGTAAAGAAAGATCGGCTGAATAGTGTTTGAGGGCCCCTTTTAGTCAAGTTAACTTGGGTATTACACCTGTCCACAGACAGCTGAGCCATCACTTGTGCAGACGTTTTTTTCAGCACACGTCGGAGTAAACAACACTGCAGTAATGGTGTCGCATGTGCCTCTCGTGAATGTTAAGCAATCCATTTTATGTATAGTACACAGATGCCACAAATGTTAAAAATTGCCCATAGCACTATCAGAACTGCCATTAAAGTGTCAGCATAAAAACACTGCTTGCATGACAAAATAGTTTTACAAATAACTTGCACAGATTATCGTGTAAATAGATGAGTATAACTTTCGTTCTGCCTGTTGGAAATATTCACGAAGCCTCACTCAAGATTTGCAAAATCAAAGGTCGCCAAACACGAGCAAAAGTGGTCTCCACCGACATCCAGAAGACAGTTTTTTTCTTCATCACTTAGAACGCTTGCTTAAGCGTTTGAAGCAGTTGGCAGCTAAACGTGATAGCTTAATCACCTACACTACACACAGCATAAAAAGTTAATTTAAGATCTGTTTCATAGCTACCTTTCTGGCCTACTACCCAACAGGAGCACTCTGAGCACTGGCACAATTCCTTCTGGACTTAAGCTTATGCAAGCCTCTTAAGAAGCAGTGGGAAAGCAGTTATATCCGTGTGCAACAATCCAACAGAGTTTTGCATCCCAAAACCTTGATGTGATTATAGGCAACACTATGGTGGAGAAGTCTATAAATTTCGTCCACCTGGAGTTCACAAAAGGCCCAACTGCATCCACGCGATTTTCTAGGAACCGGATTTGCTGTAGTGCAGGCCCATCTGTCTCCGCCACTTGTCGCGTTGCGAGTTACTGGTAACTAGAAAAGATCGCTTCTTGCCCAGAAGCCAGCGTGGCGATTTCCGGGAACATGGCTGCACCCATGGTCCTCGCTTCAGTTGCAACTAGCTCTCTATGCTTGTTATCCGCATGTACTTCAAGGAATGCAAGGTGTCGACCACCTTTTTTCCATTCGCATATCACGCGGAGAGTGAGAGAATGACCGTATTTCGTCGTAAATCTCGTTATCAAAGGTTTGTTTTGATGTTTCAAAGGTAGCTTGTCACAAGTATGGTCACTTACTGTTATGGGAAATCGTCATGCGAAGTGCAACGCGTTTCTGGGCACCCTGTGGCAGTGCAACCAAAAATCACGAAAAAAGAAGGCCATGAAATGCTTTTGTGGCTTCTTTATGGCGCACAAGGCAAAAAATTTTGGCATGTTGTCATCGACCATTTCAACTTCTATTCGCAATTTATGGGTATGCTCGCAATAGCTTTCGCCCCACCGCGGTGGTCTAGTGGCTAAGGTACTCTGCTGCTGACCCGCAGGTCACGGGATCGAATCCCGGCTGCGGCGGCTGCATTTTTGATGGAGGCGGAAATGTTGTAGGCCCGTGTGCTCAGATTTGGGTCACGTTTAAGAACCCCAGGTGGTCGAAATTTCCGGAGCCCTCCACTACGGCGTCTCTAATAATCATATAGTGGTTTTGGGACGTTAAAGCCCACATATCAATCAATCAAATCGCGATAGCTTTCATTCAAGCAAAAATGACACTTATTCGCCGACATGTGGACGCAACGGAGCAAGTTTGACGCTGTTGTTAGGAAATTGCGTGCATGTGGTTGGGCCTTAACACCTAAATATACGTACGCAGGCCTTGAACATTTTGGCCTCCGTTGAAATGTGGCTGCCACAGCCGGGATTCATAATCCGTGACATTTGGGTCAGCAGTTGAGCACATGAACCACTAGACCACTGAAGCAGGTGTGCAGCAATCCAGAGAAGGGCTTTTCTTGGATCTCGATCAACATACAAAACAACAAATGCTTTCAGTAAGGTTCAGTAAAAGCTCCAAAACTTGATGCAAAAAGTAAAAACTTTATTTTGCATGTAAATACAAAAAATTGCATCAAAACATTCTGAAAGTCAGCATTTTAAAAATGTGCGAAAATTGAGGCGAACGTTAGTATACTTAAATAGGTGAGATGGAATGTACATGGTACAAAAATGGCACCTTTTGTGTGGTGGACTTTCACAGTAAAAAAAAAAAGTACACTCGTAAGAGCAAGCATCAAAATGCCATACAATGTGTTGCTCAAAATGCTCAGGCTTAATTGTGAAGGTCAACTTCTCGCATGGACGGACGACTTTTTCATAAAATTATCTGTAACCAGTATATACTATTCAAGCAGGCACACAAAAAATGTTTCATACAACAATACTATGCACACCGAATTTCTACTGTGGGCTGTCAGAAAATGCACTGAATCGCCTTTCAAATACAACTTAACAGCACACTTTTTCAAATAAGCTATTGTAGGAATATATTTTATACCATGAGCTCTTTGCTGCATAATGGTTTTCTGTACAAACTTGTTTCAATGACCTGTTGGAATAATACACACAGATGCTCACTCCCTCCCTATGTAAAGCCAAGATAGAAAACTTCTTGACTTCATAACAAATAAAATAGAAAGTTCTAGGTTGAACAAATCATTTCGAACAATGTCATTTACAAAACAGTCCAACGGCACATTGTGGAAGTCAACCATTCACACTAGGCTAGTATGAAATGTCACATGGGGATGATAACAGCTGCAGCTACACCAAATTCGTTTATCTTGCTGTGATCACAAGCTGCGTTACAATAAAGTTGGCCGTCACCATTGTTCCAAGGTCATGTTTGTATGAATTGTTATGGCAGTGGTCTTCAGTTAACCGGTCAGCAAAATTCAAATGATAACACCAAATACCTCAAGGAAGCTATACTCTAGTTCAGAGTTAACTTCTATTACATCAAGAGCTGTTAAAAGTGCTTGCTGTCATGTCTTTGCTTAATACACAATAAAATTATCTGTGTGCTTTAGCATTAATTAGCTGCAAATAAAAAAATTATTGAGTATCAACAGGGACCACATAGGTGGTCACATACTTTCAAATGTCCCAAAAATAACCGTTGGTGAATTCAAAGTCATCTCCGCCAGCATTATCAAGCTTGAAGCGTTGCCAGTCACCGACACAACTTTGTGCTATTTATTTTTTTTTAATATTCAGTGCAACATGCAACTGAAGATGTGTATTACCTGCCGTGTTGCATGCCAAACGGTCAGGGGCACAGATTGACAATTTGCACATTTACTCATTTTACTGGCTAATGTGCGCTGTAGCTTTCGTTGCACCAAAAAGCTTGTATGTACTTAGCTGGAGTAGACAACAGTGCAAGCAGCATTAAAGGGATACTGACAAAATTTTTGCCACCAAGATTTTCAACCAAATTGAAACCTTGGGTCCTGAAATCAATAGATATAACTACAGGAAAATAATTAATTTAATACGTTTTTCACAAACTGCCACGTCTAGCCGCCGCGCAGTGCACCACAAGAGGCGACGTTAACGTCAAACCCGCCCGAAACTGGCAAGCCAACAATGCCATCCATCGCTCTCGAACCGCTCATCTACCTCTCTGGTTCCCAGAACCGGTATGAACACCACCGGTTGCGAACAACACTCTCGGCTGAGGCAAAGCATCAGCACTTGTGTAGACGGGGCACAGTAGAATGAAACGAGAGGTGGAGATAAGGAAGAGGACGGGAACTCGTGCACCGTGCCTGCGCCTGGGCGAATTTGACGTCACAGCTCCCGCTCGCGTGAGGCCGCCACGCGCTGACAGTCCATCAACAATACAGCTAACTGTTCGCAAACATGCGAAATTAATCGGAGTAGCCGCATCTTCTGAGTAGAATTGCAAGGTTTCGTCAGTTTTTCCTGTTTTTTTAGTACCCCTTTAAAAGCAACAATATTCAGTCTGGAACACTGCAACACAGCTGCCAAAATATTTGAACACAAGAAGGCACTAAGCTTGCATAAGCCAAGGTCACTAGTAGACATATGAAGCCGTGGCTTACATAATATAAACTTTTTTTTATCCACTGCCAGGGCTAGCCAAACTAGTCAATAAATCAAACTAGGCAATGCTTGGACCCCAGACTGCACATGAAAAGGAAAAGCACTGGAATAGAACTTCATCACCCTAGCCCATGTTGATGAGGTGGCAGCTTTTGACACTGCACCTCACGACATAGTTACATTGACCTCAAAGTGCAATGGATGCCTCGTAACAGACAACTTGTAGGTGCCATATCAGTAAAGCATGATAACACCCTCGGGATTTTTGGGCGTGATGTGTTTTGGCTTCTTCCAGCCCCATGGCTGCAAGCTGGCCACTACCAATATACAAACATTCAGTGAAAAGAGCACTAGAGTTACCACTAAGAAATAGAAGCTGTAGCCCAGTGATGCCCGTCCGTCCGATGTCCATTTGTCATTTTGCTCATCCTGAGTCATAACATTGTGGCTCAGCTTGAGGAAGAACTGCACCATCCAGGAAATGATGGCCACCAGACAAAAGAGACCTGCAAAAATGGTGTGTCTAACTCAGCCAAACTCAGTAAACTACAAACTTATCACTCCAAGAGTACTTAAGGCCCTCTGTTGCAAGTAATATTTGACTTCTTCACGTAACAGCGCCAGTGACTATGCAGCATCAATTATTATGTTGCTCCAAACTTTACTTAAAGTTGCAGCAAAAGGGGAGGAAATACACTGATAATAATACGGAAATGGGCATAGGAAGAATGCTACTTGCAGTAGGTGGTTGAAACAGGCGAAAATGATCCGTTGCAAGGAAGGTTGCTAGCTTTCCTGCTCCACTGCTTCTATCTTTACTTAACTCTCTTAAGAAAGTGTTGTGGTAGAATTTTTAAATATAATATTATAACTATCTAAAAACTACCAAAATAACAGACTAATAAGAGGCTTATTATGACAATTTATGCAATCTTATGTGATTATTTACAGAGATGGAGATGCCCGTGTGTGAGAAAGAATTTCTGCAATTGTTCTTAAAACAAAGTGTGCCTCACTGCATTTCACACTGACAATATGTCTTCACATACATCCGCTGCCTAGAGCCCAGATGCCTCCACATCAAACAGGCCTGCTTATGCCAAAAAAATAATGCCATTTGCATATACTGAAGATGTGTCAAAGAACAAATGGGGGGAAAAAAGTTTCACGGTGAAACTGCAAAATCATTGGTGACATTATTGGTCCATATTACCCTGGAGCACCTAAAACATCACCTTCAAACACCAATTGAATGGAGCAAAAAACATTTTTGTTTTCCTTGCCTATTCAATTGTAAGGTACTTTTACTTTTTATCCACTTCACAGTGATATTACTGAGAACTTATTTTTTTTTAGCGGGGGGGGGGGGGGGGGGGGCAATTTTGCAACAGCAGCATTCTCATTTAGGAGCACAGTAAAGCAGGTAATATTGCACTTATGGAGAACCTTGGAAAAGCAGGTTGCATTTTACATCCAATTACTAAAATATAAATTGAGGAGTTTTTATGAAAAGCTGGGTAACATTTCCATCAATTACAGATATCGTTCATCACAGAAAAAGAAGGGCAGCCATAAAGCTGTAGGTCATAAATAAAATAACTGCTTTGATAACTTTTTCAGTGCAAAGCTGCATGAAGAACACATTTTATAAATTGACACACTAAACAATTCTGTGGTGATCAAAATAAAATTCAGTGCTTCTGCCACAAATTTATTCGATGTTCATAAAATGTTGCACTATAAAACTGTAGATGTGGCAAACACTGAATACACAACAGCTTCTCAATGGCAACGGAACAGCTAAACCAGATAGGAGATCCCAGCAATGTGGGTGCGACTACGAACAAAGAGATCGGCTCTTCCATTAGCTTCGCTGACGAGAAGAATGTGTGCCGAACATGTGTTTTGCATGAAGAAAAAAAAGTTTGGACACAACATGTCACTTAAAGGCATTGCGGTACCTTGCCTTTTCACTACCCGAAAATATGTGTGTGTGTGTGTGTGTGTGTGTGCACGTGCGTGCCTGCATGTGTGCGTGTATATATATATATATAAGCAAGAGAATGGCACAGTATGCAAAATATTTTTTTATGTGACCCCATCAGTGCAACAGCACGAGAAAAATAAAAATGGATGCCAACAAACAGGACAATAGTTGAAAAAATGGCAAAAACACCCACTACGAATGTAGTCCAGCTTCCGGTAGCCCAAATATTTCATTTTAATGATTCCCAAACAACAATGCATAAATTTTGTTCACACTACCAGGGCCGCTGGGTAAAAAAGAAGGTGCGGCCTGTTGCATCGCGTCGCCATCAATGGGCGAGTGCATCTCTGCTGAGTTGACAGTTGTGGCTACTTTTTTTTTTTTTTTTTTTTTGGAGAGGGTGCTGACACTTCACCCATCAAAGAGGAAAACACTTCGTGTTATTATCTGGTTGCGCGAGGATTACTGCAGCTCCATGTGCATTCTCGTGCTTTTTTTTTATGTAATCGTGTGTGGAGGTAGCTTGCCTCATGCTTCCTGCGCTCGAGTAAGATTCTTTTGTGCGCACGTGCATGGCAGATGGATTTTTTAGGGTGGTGCCACGAAGCTGTTGTGTGCCGCTGAGTAGCTCGAACATGAAAAAAGATGCTACTTCGAAGTACACCGTATTCCACTGTGATCTACAGTGTCCAAAAGTGTATCAGCATGTGTATTATTCATAACAGGACACTTATTTTTTCACAAACAAGCACTCAATCAGATGCGTGCCGCCGCCTCCAGACGACAGCATCAAATCACTGTGCCAACCGTTCCCTTCAAGGGCGTGCATGACAAACAATAAAACAAACATCAAAAGGTGCCCAGGGCATACGTGCCCTTACCCTCTACACACGCGACAGCCAACCAGCATAGGTCAGAAGAAATCGAGACATCGAAGTGGGGCCTCTTTTGGGGGCGACCGTTTTCGCAGACGAACCGGCGAGACGAAACCCTTTCCCCTGGCTATCGCCATGATATGGGTTCTACAAGCCGTACAATTACTTGGACTCTTTGTGAAACCTGGAAGGATACTAGAGGCGACGAAGAGTAGGACGGGTGGTTAACTCTGCCAAGAAGTTATCTTCAAGCCATTCAAGTGAGTCGTGTGGTGCCGGTCGTTCAATACTAAAGAATCTACTGATGCCGCTGTGGAAGTACTGTTTTGAAAACTGGAGTTGGTTTCAGTGTTTCTTTGAAGAGAAATATTCGAGAAACGTTCAGAACATTGTCGAGAACACATGTGTGGTGAATATTCATGGCCTGCATGTATTCTCACACAGCTTGTAATGCAAGAGATTGCATTTGTAGTGCGGTAAGTTTGTTCCTATGGTTTTAAATACCCTCTCAGTTATTTTGGGAGTTGTTAATGATACCTACCGAGTGTGCAAGTTTGTGTGATGCCTTCACTGAGAATCTATTTTGTTTGTGTTGTGAACTCTGTCTTTGGGCCACAACCGGCGTTGTTGGTGCAATAAAATGACCTACATTTAAATTATGCCTGATTTTGCGGTGCACTTCAGTGGGCCGATACGTCAGCCCTCGCAATCTGCTTGGCTGAATGCAGGAACAGCGCAACCTACAAGTAGTTACGTCGTAACTAGGGATTCGAAAAAACAAGGACAGAAAAGAGCGCTGACTTTCAACAGATTTAATATCGGAGTGGTGTACATATATAGGCGAAAATTGAGAAAATTTGGCATGCGTAGAAGGGTGCAGGAACAACTACTGCGATACAATGTCAGCAAAACTCTTGTCTCTTGTTGAATGGGCTGAGAAAACAAATGCATATGTAACTTAAAAAAGATCGAGATAGGCAATCTCCTTTTGCAACAACGCAATTGATGGGCAACTTACACATTTACCGCCAAACTTGTTTATTTGATAAGCTTCAATTATCTCACGCGTGGCCTGCGAGTTGTGCTTGCTTAATACCTCGCAACGCTCAAAAACCGGCACGCAGCCGCAGTCTCTGCAGTGGATTCCAAGGTGTCCTTGAACTACGTTGTATACATTGTTATTGTGCTCTCTTAGACGGTCATTAAGGCACCTTCCGGTTTGCCCTATGTATACCATTCCGCACGAAAGCGGAATGAGATATACGACACCAATAACACAAGGTACAAAGCGTGTTCTGTGTTTCACAGTGCATCTTCTTTTAATAGCAGCTTTGTAAGCTGGAACCAGCTTACAAAGCTTTGTAAGCTTTTCTGGGGCGGAAAAAATAACAGTGACACCAGCGCGTTTACCGATTTTTTTCAGCCGATGCGACACGTTATGCAGATACGGAACTGCAACATATTTCATGGGAACAGACACGCTTTGAGGCTGAGATCGCCCTCCTTGATTTTTAATTTGCTTCAAAAGTTTTTCCGCAACAGCAGAAATCAGCGCGCTCGAGTAACAGGCGCCTAAGAGGAGCTCTATCTGTGCTTTGAAACTGCGTTGCATCGAGTGCGGGCATGACCTCTTGAGAGCGTTTACCAGGCAACCTTTAATGATACCCCTTTTCACCAATTTTGAATGGGCTGAGTGGAAAGGTAAAAGGGGTTTACCACTTCTCGGTGAAAACAGCCAGCACAAATGAGTACTTCTAAGACAGAGTGTTAGGTCTAAGAACCTAATCAAATTTCCAGACGGTAACTCATGCGCGAGTTCAAGAGGAAACAAGTGCTTCTTAAACAAATCTAAAAGACTAAGGACAACAACTTCAAAAACAGTATCCAAACAATCAATAAATACAATGAAATCATCAACAAACCTACAGACCTTCACAACGAGAGACAAGTCGAGATCTTTTTGAATGTGGCGATCCTTATGCGCGAGAAAGATGTCACTCAGGACTGGTGCCAAACAGGAACCTATGCAAACGCCGCTTTTTTGAATAAACTGTTGCTCATTCCAAGATGCAACCGTTGACTTTAAATAAAATGAAAGCAATTCCAGAAAACCTTGAACTGGCATACCTGACGCATTCTGGAAATTTATCGACCCAAACGAATCAATGCATTCTTCTAAGCACTGGAGCAGTACGTTATGTGGAAGTGAATAATATAAATCCTTCACATCTATTGAGAAAGCCTTCAGTCCTTTGTCATTAGACCTTAAAAACTTAATAACTGCCTCAGAGTCTTTTACCAGGAAAGGATCGTCAATAGTTAAAAGGTTGAGCTGTTCTTTTAAAAACAAGGCGACCTGTTTTTGCCACGTCCCGTTCTCAGAAACTATAACCCGAAGTGGGCAGTCAAACTTATGAGTCTTAGCAGTAAAAAGGATGTCAAGACTTAGCTTCTTGGATTTGTCAATACATTTAGCAACTTTTTCTAGGCCGAGAGAGCTGCAAAGCCTTTTTGCTTTCAACTTAGCTTTTGCTAGAGAAGAGTGGCTGGGTTTAAAAACGCGCTTTGTACCTTGTGTTATTGGTGTCGTATATCTCATTCCGCTTTCGTGCGGAATGGTATACATAGGGCAAACCGGAAGGTG